CCCCCTCCCCCCCTCCCCCCCTCCCTCCTTTACAGCACATATGCAACCACACCCCTATAGTAACTCGAATGTGGAATTAAGACAGCCTCACAGGAAAAAACAAAAAGAAGGAAGAATCGCACCTTTTAATTTTTAGTATTATTATTTGTTTTTCTTCTCTACACGTGAACTAATGCAACACATCTAACACTCACAATCAATCAATTGAAAAAAAAAAAAAAAAAACCCTACAAGACCACGTAGCATGGAAGAAGGAAAAAAAAAAAAAAAAAAACCTCCATCGAAAAGCAGAAAGAGAGAAACACAGGAACCCCACCACACTACCAGCGACGAGTAATCTCAAGAATGGATCAAACCTACCAACGCCACTACAGCACGGTAGCTGCAACAAGAACAGCCACCTCAAAGGAGCCCTCCCAAATGGCATCCAACGTAGATCACGAGACACTTCGATTTCTGCTGGAAGCCCCAAAAATCAAAGGGGAGAAAGTCACAATCAAAGTCAGGAATGTGAAGGATAACACCGACGAGGAAGTGACTGTCTGGGCATACCCAAAAGACAAGATTGCCGACACCAACGCGACATATGAGAAGCATGCTCTCATCTTCTCCTTCTCCAACGCCAGGGCAAGACTATCCCCCATCGAGAAAAGAAAATGGATGGTGAAAACCATCCAAGAACATGAAAACATCAAAACAGAGGTCGACAAGTTCTCCCTGGTTGGTCTGGGTAGAACCATGATGATCGTGGTGTTTAAAGAAGCAGATCAAGCAACGCACATGTTGGAGAAATGCGAAACCTTGAGCTGCAATGGATCTGTCTGCACCCTCTCACCTTGGAAACTAGAGACAGCCAGCGAGTTGAAGTCTCACCGGCTGCCTCCTACAAACAACGACTGATGAGGGAGCAGTTCTGGGTTCGATTTGACAACATCCCACCCAGAGGCCATCCCCTGATTAAAGATCGATTGGAAGTCTAATACCCCGCAAACGAAGTGCTGAAATGGGTCCTCCCCACACCCGACTTCTTGGCACCCCACTACGATTTCGTAACAACAATCTTGGAGGTACTGACTGACGACTCCCCGGTGTTCCCCGAAGAGTGGCAATGTCTCATTGGAGACAAACTCACTTCAGTAACAGTATCTACCAAAGCCTCGCCAATCTACTTCAGGTATGGGAACAGATCCCAAATGCCCACGCTCCCCCGAACAGAAAAAACCGAGACAGAATATGCTCGTCGAAGTTGAAGAGGCCAAAGGCATCTCGTTCGTCAATAACCCAGGTTACGATGGCTGGGTCTTCGACGACAATATCCCAGAGCCTAAGTGGATATGGACATACACGAACACGACCCCGACAATCAAACAGCCAGACATTTTTCCACCGTCAGACAGCAAATGGCGCCATGTGGGAGCAAAGAAGATAACATGAATCCCAGGGAAAATATACTCAGACCCGGTGGTGGATTCCCTCGCGATCAAAGAAGAAAAGAAACACGAAGACCTGTTGTGGGACCTTGAGTCAATCAGACAGCAGACCGCAGACGCCCTCGCCAAGAGTGAAGAGGACAACGACATCCTGGACGCAGCCAAACAGATCATTGAGGGACTCGCCCTACAGACCGACCCCTCCCTCAAGAGACAGGCCTCCCCACAATAGGAGAACACCGAGACAAGAAAAAAATAAGAAAGAACAGCTCAACGAAAAAGGGAACCCCCCCCGCTGACACACAGAGCTCACAGGAAACCCCGACTGAATCAGACCCCACCCCAATAACAGATCAGGACTGTACCCACAAAGGAATGGACATATGCCCCTCCAAGAGCGACAGGGAAGGCAAACCGAAAGAACAAGGAGATTCCCCCATTGCTTGGCTGCAGGAATACTTGGAAAGAGCCAGAAACGAGAGGGAGAAAGAATTCGACATTTGAGTGGCATGCATGAAGCATCAGTAGAAGACAAGCTGGAGCAGCAAAGGCCAGGTAGCAGCCATCCACACATCCACGAACACCTACGACATCCTGAGAGAACAGAGTGAGCTGTCAGAATTCAGCGCCTTCAGGCATCACGAGAAGAAGAGGAAGAGAGACAACTCGAGCTCTGAGTCTGGATCCAATGCAGAAACTCAGGGCCACAAGGACCCAATCAGAAACATGGTACCGAAGAAGTGGAAGCCATCAAAGGGCAGGATCAAGAGATCCAGAAAAAACACGACGGATACTTTAGGAAATGGCAACGAGCAGCAATCGCTCAAACAGGAGATCGCCATCGCCGCTGCTCAGACAAAGTGTCTGTTTGATCAGAACATGGAATTCCAGAAAAGCCACAGAAAAGAATACTGCACCATCCAAAACGTGGCAGACAACAAGGCCCCCCATGCCATTGAGAAAGCTACCTCAGATCTCAAAACCATCAAACCAGTCAGACGCCTGGTCCCCATCCGATACAGAAAGAAGTTCGGGGAGTGGCAGGTACCCGCAGATGTATCCTTCGCCTTCCCGACCGCGAAAGACCACCGAAAACTGGTCAGAACAATCAGAGAAGGCATATCCGAAGACATCCCCTTAGGAGTCTTCGAAATCCCCGCCCCCCTCGGGGAAGACTCAGACAAGATCGACCAGGAACTCGCCACCGCCAGATCTTTCGAACCAATCCTTGTAAAACTAGAAGAAAAATCGAGGCTGCACGAGGGGCTGGTGTGGACAACATGCAACACGGTGACCGCCCTACCATACAGCACACTTGCAGGCAAGATGTGCCCGACGGAGGTCACGGCCGACTCCCTGGCTGCCATCATCAGATCCCACATCCTCTTCACAGAACACTCCCTACAGGACGAAGTTGAGCCGTTGTACCTGGAACCGGAAGACGAGGATAGGCACATGGGCGAATACGACGACGACGAAGGGCTAAACGGCAAGATATCCCCGGGCAGGGACGGGAGCGGTACCACCCCAGCACCCGAGGGCAACATGGGGGGATACAACCTAGGATCTGCCGTCAGGAGAAGGGCAAACGAGGATAGTGAAGAAACCGGAGGAATCGGAACTGACAGCGCAGGGACCGGGGCAGCGGCTGATTAGAAACCCCAACGCCCCCCCGCCCCCCCCCAAATTGAACTCCGCACCACGACCGTACCCCAAAGAAAATAAATATTTGCACACAGCAACCCGTCACATGTAATGTAATGGGTGACAACAATAATCACTATGGTACGGTGAGAAAGGACTGGCAAGCAAAAGGATTGACGATCCACAGTTGGTACGTCAACGGCTTGGGCAACATCCTCACCGAAGACGACAAACTACGTGACATCAGACTCGGCCTCACAGATAAAAGATAGCCCAAACCTGACGTCATTCTCCTACAAGAGACCCACCTATCCAACCTCACTAACCACACAAGAATAAAAAGGACCGTGGAGAAAAGCCTAGGGGGATGCCCATTCACATTGTGGTCCAACAAAGCGGACCAAAGCAACCGTGGCACAACAATCCTTATACCGTCTACCTCCAAAATCTGGTATGAGGGTCTGGTAAATAATGGCGAAGGCGACACGACAGAAGGCAGATGGTCATGGATCCAAATTACATGGCAAAGGGAAGAGATCAGGATCCTAAACCTATACGCCCCCAACACGGAAACCGAACGCCTAGTCTTTTTTTACCACATCAAATCACTATTCCCGACCCCCCTACCGCTAATTATAGCAGGTGACTGGAACACCACGTTGGACCCCAGCCTGGATCGCATCTCCCGGACAGTGTTGCTGGGGCCCACGAGACCGAGCACTCACCTATGGAACATCATGACAGAGTTCGACCTGGTCGACCCATGCCGAATCCTCCACCCGTGCAAGAAAGCCTTCTCCCTAGTCAAGAGGAACCGCTCTAACTACACGTCACTATCACGAATTGATTTCTTCTTAATTTCCGACATGCTACAGGGGGCAGTCAAGGAGGCAGGTATACTACCAGCAGCAGCCTTTAAGGGGCTCGACCACAAACCAACTTTTTTTTTTTTTTTTTTTTTTTCAAATACCGGGCCCGGTGCCCACGACTGATATTACCAATAATAAGATTGAGGCCGGGGTCCTCACAGTGCGCGGAGTGATCGAACCGAAACTGCTGAGAACCGGGCTCAGCATCCCTCAAATAGTTATAATGATGACCATGATGATACTGATGATACCATAGATAATGATGCTAATGAGAATAATGATTCAAATATACGAAAAAATATAGAAGATTATGCTATATCAGTTATTCTGGCCTCCTAATCCTAGTACAACTGCTAGCCCTCCCTGTACCAGGACACTGTACGTCAGAGACAAAACCAACCTAACCAACATCAACCATAGCTGATCTCTTCTCGCCTCCTTGCAGCCCCCCCCGGTTCACCACTGGAATGCCTTCCACCCTCAGCAAACCCCAGATCTCTCTACAAGTCCTCACACTCCTGCCATTTACAGGTTACAGGGCAATGCCCCAGCTCCGGCCAGCGTCGTTCTGGCATCGGCAACCAAGGGCACAGAACAGAGCAACTCAATAGATATCAGTCCAGGTTCAACCATCTCTGAAGTCCTATATCCCGAATGTGGAGGAATGCTAGATGCTGCCAAAATTTCAGAACACCAAAAAGCTTAATATAACAATAATCAGATGATGATATTAATGATGTGATGAATATGATGATGATGAATATGATGATTAGTAGATGAAAATATAGAAGACTACGTTATAACAACACTTCTAGCCTCCTAATCTTCGATACCTCCCAGCCCTCCCTGCACCAGGACATTACATCTTAGAGACAATGCCCTCCTAACCAATGTCTACCATAGCTGACCTCTTCTCGCCACCTAGACTATCCCTGGACCCATAGGTTGTCAAGGCAGCCCCCCCGGTTCGCCACTGGATTGCCTTCCTCCCTCGGCAAATCCCCAGATCTCTCTACAAGGCCTCACACTCCTGCCAATTGCAGGTTACAGGGCAACGCCCCTGCTCCGGCCAGCGTCGTTCTGGCATCGCCAAACCAGGGGCAAAGACAAAGCAACTTTGTTACTCTGTAGATATCGGTCCAGATTCGACCATCTCTAAAATCCTATATCCCGATTAAGGAAGGAGGCCAGATACAACCGAAAATTACAGCACACCAGAAAGCATGATATAACATGGATGATGATGATGATGATGATGATGATTTTGATGATGAGATGATTCAGAAAAAATCCCCCCTCTCCCTTCCTTCSTCCATTCTCTCCATTCCCCTATCTATCCCTTTACMCTAATCTGCCCCCGCTGGGATTTGATGCCCAGCCCCAGAAAAGAGTATTCCTCACAATCTGCCCGTACCCCCTCCAGAGTTTCACCACCCGCCTAATGAAACCCTTGCGGGGCTGGGCTCTCCCCCTCCCCCTCACCAAAATGTCATTCGCTTGGACAGCACCATGAAGATAGTGATAATGAGGATGATGATGACGACCCACTCACCTGCTGATGCGAAAGGCGAGCGATGCCTTGAAGAGCAAACTCTAATGATGACAAACTAATAATGATGATAATAATCATCATAATGATAATAATAATGTTGATGATGTCAATAATGATGATGATGATGATGATGCTGATGCTGCTGCTGATGATGATGAAGACACACCAATGATGATGCTCATAATGATGATGATGATGTTGATGATGATGATGATGATGATGATGATGTCAGTGATGCTGCTGCTACTGATGATGATGATGATGATGACGCACCAATGAAGATGCTCATAATGATGATGGTGATGTCAGTAATGCTGCTGCTGATGATGATGATGATGATGACGCATGATAGCCATACCCACTCCGCTGGGCCCAAAGGAAGCGCCAGCCTCCATACTGATGATAATGATGATGACGATGATGATGATGATGATGATGATAATGATGAAGATGATGATGATGATGGTGATGGTGATGATGAAAACCGCCGCCGATGATGATGATGATGATGATGAGGATGATGATGATGACAACGATGATAAAACCGAAGATGGTGATGATGAATGAAAATTACCGCCGTTATCCCCACATTATTAAAAATGTCGATGATGATAATGATGCAGATTACCGTCATTGGCAACGCAGTACGAGTGAAGGCCGATGACAAATCCACCAGGACACTGAAACTGAAAGCTGGCCAGAATCGAAGAGAACGTCCCACCCCATGAAGCAAAGTATCCTCAGTCAACACTGAGGTTTCCAGCGCCTGAAGGTTCGCGCCACGAAGCAGAAGCACCAACCCCCCTTCTCTACCTGCGCCAGCCTGTGACGCCAGGAGATCAGCACGAAACAGAACAGAAGACCATCGCCTCTCCCTCCTCTCTGTCAACTAGAGACGCCACCATCCCCCTTGTAGAGTAGCAGCGCTCAACATCCGTGTCTCTGTGATGTCACCTCCCTCATTTTTCGCAGCCGCGCACTAACGCTCCTCCACCCGGCAGCGCACCACCCACTAGCAGCATTCCACCTGGCAGCGCACCGCCCGCTAGCGGCACTCCGCCTGGCAGCGCACCGCCCTCTAGCAGCGCTCCACCTGGCACACGCATCGGTACACTACCACGTCGCCCGCTCGCCGCGCGCGTTCCTCCATAGCTTGCTTGGCGCCGGCGCCTCGCCACCCATCCAGGCTCCATTTGCGCCATTTGCAGAGAAACATACACACTGCATCTTCAATGGGATTCCAATAATTGTGAAGTGACCAACCTACTTGCTCCTCAACTTCAACTCTCCGGTAGAAAAAGGTCAAGGCTTCTTCAGACTCGACAACTCACTCCTACCCACGGAACGCATGACCGAGGTAGTCAAATGGAACTGGTGGTTCATACAGCAAGACGAGAAGAAACGCCAGGACATGCACAAATGGTTCATAGACAACTATATGGACCTAGCTCAGGCGGTCTCAGCAGATTGTAGAAGCATAGCAACAAAACGCAAACATAGGAAGGAAGAACTACAAATCACACTCGACATCGCAGAAACCAACCTAGCATCCGATCCCTCCAACTCCTTCTACCACAACCTACTCCAATCTACCAATGATGAACTAAACGAATGGAGAAGATGGGAACTCAAAGGCCTACAGATACGCGCCCGAGTGAAGGGCTACATCCTGAATGAATCCATGTCCAAGTTCTTTTGCTCCAAGATCAAGGCTAACGCAAGGAACAACACAATCGAGGGGCTGAAGGACCCAATAGACCAGGGCATGACAATGTCAGCGGGCGCAAACATGGTAAGAATTGTCAGGTCCTTCTACCCCGACCTCTACGAGTCTAAACCCCCCTCCCCCCCTCCAACAACAAATATCAACGCCCGCCAGCACATGATGACCTACCTTGAGAGAACGATCACCCATGGACAAACGAAGGACTTGGATAAACCAATCACCATAGGCGAACTGCACACAACCTTGTCCCAGATGGGTAATGACAAAGCACCCAGAATTGATGGCCTTTTTAAAGAATTATGGATCCAGTTTTGGCCAACAATGGGCAACGACCTCTTGAACTTCATCAATGACAGCAGAGAAGAAAGAGGCTTGGGTCAATTCCTAAGCACCAGCGTAGTGTCGCTAATATACAAAAAAGGCTACAAGGAGGACCTCAAGAACTACAGACCGATCTCACTTCTCACAACGCCGTACAAAATCCTAGCAAAGGCATTAGCCAACAGAATCATAAAACTAACAGACAACTGCTTTCACATCGACCAAGCAAGATTCATCCCGGGTCGATACATTCTCGATAATGTGATGGCTCTAAATGAGGCTGCAAAGAAGATCACAAAAAAACGAATGCAAGCAGAGATCTTATTCTTCGACTTTGAAAAGGCATGCGATCAAGTCAACTGGGACTTCCTACACAGCTGCATGGAGAAGATGGGAGTCGGCCCAAAGTTTAGAGAGTGGGTTAGAGTACTCTACGGGGATGCCACGGGCAGGGTGCAGATAAACAGAATACTGTCAGATACCTACGCGATATCGAGATCGGTCCGACAAGGCGATCCCCTTGCACCCCCAATATTCATGTTTATGATAGAAGCCATCGCCTCGTTCCTACGCAAGGACCCATCCATAGACCGCCTGACCAATCAAAACCACAACCCCCTCCACGACTTTGCTCTCCCCATAGCAAAGATGTTCGCAAACGATCTCACGGTCCTCATCCGCGCTAACAACTCCCCCTTCCAGGTCCTGGTGCGCGCCACGGAAGCCTTCAGACTCACTTCAGAAATGAAGGTTAACTGGTTGAAAACGGAAGGGTGGTGGCTCGCAGAGGGAACCTCCCCCCCAACCCCCAGACCCATCCACCCCAATGTCTTGGACTACGGGTGACCAAGCACTCCGATATCTAGGCATTATGGTAAACATGGATGGCATCTGGCAAGGAATGGGGGAGACTCTACTCGCCAAAGCAATAACCCGGCTAGCCACATGTAACAAAGTCCAGGCCTCCCTTCTAGGGAGAGCCTTGATCATCAACACAATAGTATTCTCCACTTCGTGGTATATGGCCTCCATACGGTGCCCCTCCGACGACGACCTGAAGAAGCTGAAGGCTAGAACCAGGTGCTATCTGTGGACTGGCGACCCCAACAGAACCTCCTGCATAAACAAGGTAGCTTGGCAAAATTTCATTAGAAAACCACAAAAAGGAGGGCTTGGTATCATCGACCCTAAACAGGAAGCGATCGCCCTCCAAATGAAATGGATAATCAAAATCCTAACCAGACAAGCCCTCCCGAGGACCAAGATGGCGTTAGACAACATAAGGAGTTTGGCACCAGCAGCAACCCCACCGAACATGAGTGGCCTGTTCTGGAGCATGGCGAAGGAATGGACAATCAAATCTGGGAGATTAGTACGGAAATCTAACCAGCGACCCCCATTCAGGCCCCCACAACACCCACCCCCTACTGGTCACCGATCCTGAAGGCCTGGCATCGTCTGATACCGGAAAAGAAAGAACCCCCAAGCAATAAAGAGGAAGTCCTGCGACAGCCCTTGTTCTGCAACCCCTGGATCAAGGACACAGAGGGCAGACCGTGGACCCTCCAGCCCAAAGACCGTAGATGGTTGTCTTGGGTGGAGAGAGGAGTATGGCAGGTCAAACACCTTTGGTCCGAGGACCGACAAGAATGGCACACCGCACAGGACCTTCGCACTCCCTTAAAAGGCTGCCACCTACTGACCACCAACCTGGCAGAAATCCTCCAAAGCATCCCCCCCCCTGGACGACCCTCCTAAAAGAGACACATACAATGGAAACCAGAAGACTGGGGACTACTCACCACACAGACTCCACCAACAAGAGCCTATCGCTTCGTGTCAAAACCGGCCTCAACTAACTACCAAGCCAATTTGTATCCTACCCCATCAGCAAACACAACATATATGAACTAGAGGTCCTAAACAAAACACCACAGCACGAACAAATAGAAACCTACCTCCTCAGGAAGGTTAGAGTTTCCCACAAGAAACCCTGGCTTATATTCCAGTCGGAACTCAGCATCAAAGAACTGGAATTTGACCCAAAGGAATGGATATGGGATCTAGGCGCGACCGGTAAATCGAGGACAATAACAACATACAACGTTAAGCTCGGATATAGCCTCGGGCTACAAACCAGAGACCCGAACCCAAGGTTGACAGAGAAATGGAGAACCATACCGAACCTAGATATGACGACCCCCATCTCCATCACATGGATCAAATATCTTCTCATCAGACCATTTAGAATCCGAAGTTTGCAATGGCTAATAGCACATGCAGCCCTTCCAGTCAACCAATGGCTACACGTGAGAAGGAAACATTCCGATCCCATAGCTCAGAATGCTGCTCAATGTGCCACAACGACTCACCCGAAGACATCCCCCACTGCCTCCTCTTCTGCCCATAAGCAACCTAGATATGGAAGAAGGTCAGTGAGCTATGGTCGATCCTGTTCGCCTCGCCACCCCCTAACGTCCCCCCTATCTCTATCCTACTCCTAACTAACATCCCCAGCAACATCACAGGCAGCAGGGAAGTATGGTTCACCCTGCTCAGGAAGCTGGCTTTGTGGGTGATATGGAAACGCAGGCGCACTCAGACAATCGAGGGAACAAAGGTGGCAAGGGAAGAAATGTGGTCACTACTGTTGACCATGGCAGAGACGAAAATCAGGAGCAGATTGTGGAGAATAGTGAGCTCAACGAGGCACAGACTAGAAGGACAAGCAACCAAGAAACGTAAGTTCATAAGGAACTGGTTGCTAAAGGGCAGGGTGGCAACGATAAGTGACAACAGACTGAGATGGAAGAAATGGCATCAAGCACAATCATGAAGACTACGAGGGTACCTGCCGGGTGACCTGGCTGAAGGCGCTGTATGGTGATCAACAAAAGGAGGACCAGAAACACAAGGAAGGACAAGGACAAACAACAGAACACAGAGCGGACCCCCCCATTGTTCTCGTAATACAGGGACTCGTTCGACAGACCCTAAGTAGAAGCCTGAGAGGAACAAATGGTCAGGGCAAGTTGACAGTCGATCCTCCTTAGAAGGAGTAATCAATGTTGGTCAGGGATCCTTCGACTAGACGGAAGGAAGCGTTGAGTGATTAATATGTTGTAACCCTTTTTCGACTTGTCGGGGGAACAGGAACCGGACTGATGCTCCCCAGAATGGATATGGAGGACCTGCTTGAAAAAAAAAAAAAAAAAAACAACTCATACGAACGCCATGTGAGGACCGTCCCCAGGCACTGCAGGAAGATGTGTTCTATGGTTTCTGGGATCTTACGAGAAGGGAAAGCGGTGTGACAGGATTTACACCTTGGTGACGCCAGGCGCTTTTGTTCCAAGTGTGTGCGATCCTCCAGGCAGTTATTCGTGGAAGGCAGTGGTGTTCTATCTACCGCTGCAGCAAGGCGAATTTTGTTGGTTTAGACCTCGTAATCGTAAACCATCGGATATGATGGTTGTGTTGGCGGCTCCATGGAATGCAGGTTTTGTTTTGAAAAGGAATGCTGGACTCACTAGGAAATGACGATTGTTCTGGCGGCCCGTTTAATGCTGAAGACGTGGCTACCATTCCATAGCATATTGCTACCAAGTTATGTTTCCGCATTGCCTGCACAATCAATCCCCTGTAACACGGGCAATAAATGCTAGCAGGTTTACGCAGTGAAGTTCAGCCTTTGGATGTACAGTGGGACGATGGACCCGTTTTCCAGCAGGTGCTGCTTCCCACCAATAGACTGGAGCAACCAGGTGGCCCGCTAGGAGGGGGTGCTCTTATCACCTCTCCTAGCGTGCCGACGTGATTTTCATTGGGGAAAAAAAAATAAAAATAAAACAGGGGCAGAAATGCTTTGATAGAAAAATTGGAGGGTCCGCAGGGTCTGACAACCAACACAAAAGGAATGGTAGCGATAGCTTAGGATTTCTACAACAACCTTTACAAGTCAAGGGAAGGCGAACATCCAAGACAGCAAGTGGAGAGGGCACGATCTAAGTTCTTGGCGTATCTCGAGCCTACAATCTCTCAGATAGAAGCTGCAAAGCTTGAGGCCCCCCTATCGCAGGAAGAGCTCCTGGAGGCCCTCAAGTCCATGTCGCCTAATAAGACCCCCGGAAGAGATGGCTTGACTAAGGAGTTTTGGCTGGAATTCTGACCAGTCCTGGGCACTGAGTATGAAACCTTCCTTGAGCAAGCATGGCAAAGGGACGGGCTAGGACAAGACCCGGCTACGGGAATTCTCACGCTCCTATATAAAAAGGGTAACCCAGCGGACATCCGAAACTATAGGTGTTGCATACCGTATAAGTGCAGACCAGAACAAGAACCGACCTTTCAATACAAAGTAAAAGATAGCACAGCGGAAGACTAAGATATTTCTTTCAATACAAAGTATAAGTGCAGACCAGAACAAGAACCGACCTTTCAAGACAAAGTATAAGTGCACGCTCCTGTTTTTGTTTTTCTTTCTGAAAATTCGAAATTTCGTTGTTAAAAATCCGAAATATATTTCTTTTTGAAAGTTTCGATTTTCTGTTGCATTTCCCGTACTTAGAACTTCGAAATATCTTCTTGTCTGAAATTCGTTTTTCTGAAAACGGTACGGGAAATACCTCCTGCACGTATTATTTTTTTCAAATTGCGAATATTCCCATCGGAATAAATCCGAATAGTTGTCATTTCTGTTCGGACTTTTTTCGCAGTTCTTGGATTCTGTCAGTTGGTTCTATAAATCGGTTGCAGTCTAAAGTCGAATTTTTTTTTTTTCGCTTTCAGAGATCATTTCGTACTTCAAGGGAGATTGGGAGACCCACCGAACTTGCAAAAATCGGGATTTTTATTTTTTTTAGTTTCTTGAAATTTTTTTTGCAAAGTTCAAACTTTTCTGGTTTGATTAGTGGCTCCTTATCTAAGTGTGAGTTGGGCGATTATCCCACCCACCCCTCACCACCTACGTTGTTGCCATCTCTCGCCTTACTGTTTCTGGTTGTCTTCGGGTACCCCTTGTGACGACATTGGTAAGTTGCCACGTCAGCAGGCCATGTCAGCAGACCACGTCAGCAGGACACGTCAGCAGGCTACGTAAGTACGTCAGCAGACCACGTGCCACGTCAGCAGCAAGGGATACCACATCAGCAGGCACCGGTCTGGTCTATCCTGTTGCATTCACAGACAGCAGTCATGGACCAGAAGGCCGGGGAAACAGACGAGGCCTATCAGGCCCGCATGTTAGCCTGGAGTACCGAGACAAAGAAGCGGGCAGAAGACGCTGCCGCAGCAGCCAAGAAAAAAGGGCAGAGGATGCCGAACAGGCACGTCTGCTGGCCGTGCAACAACAGCGCCAACACGACGAGGCAGCAGCAAGGGCTGTTGATGAAGAAAGAACACAACGTCGTGAGAAGATATTCACCGGAGAGCGGGCGTTACTTACCATGGCAGCAGAATGGCGAAGCGAGGCCGAGAACAACCAGTTGGAGGACAGCGCAAACAAGATAGCGCTCCTCCTCTCGCATCTCACGGATCTCCTGGCAACCTGCATTACACAGCAGGCGGAGATCCTTGGTCTCGACAACTCGGTAGCTCAGCTCCAAGACCGCCTTCAGCGGGTGGAGCAGCGACCAGTCACCGCCGCCGACGCAGGCTCTTCCAATACTGCCGACCGCCTCACCGCATTGGAGATGCACGTCGGCTCCTCCAGGATGGCGCACAGTTACAGCAGACCGCGACGCAACAATTGCAGCAGCGGATCTGCACTACCGCCACCACCTCGGGTCCGGAGCCGCGCGAGACAGCTCCTAAGTTCGATGGGCAGGAGATCTTCCACGACTCAATCAAGACAGATCCGATTCCATGGTTTCGCAAGTTTGAGTTCACGCTGCAGCTCCACAACGTCAAGGAAAACAAGCACCACGCTTACTTGTACTCTCGCTCAGGGGGCGCGTGTCAGGCGTGGTTGGACAACTTATTGTCCAAGTACGGAGTGGTAGCAGCGGACTTGCACACCATGATCAGCTGGGATGATCTGAAGGCGGCGTGGCACAAGCGGTTCCAGGTGGAGCCGCCAGAGATCAAAGCCATGGACAAGCTTATGGTCTTCGAGCAAGCAAGGCTCGCTGCCGAGTATGGACTGGATCGCCGAGTACCAACGCTTGACGTCAGTCCCAGACATCCAGATGGGCTTCAAGGCCATCCGCCACTATTTCATCTCAAGGTCATGTCCGACATTGAGCAATGCCCTGACGCATGTCGAGGACACCTTGACGACGACGGCGAAACTATTCGACAAGTCTGCGCAGATCATCGTTACGAACAAGGAGGCCAAAAACCTCCGTTCTTCTACGTCAGGCCCGAGCGGGAACCAGGATCGGCCACGAGTGGCCGTGGTTGCTGCGACAGCGCCGTTAGACCAAACCAGCAAGGCTGCGTTTGCCAGTGAAGGAGACAGATTCGCAGCCGCTCGGGAAGGTGGCCGCGCCGGCAGAGGCCGAGGGCGCGGCAAGCCGAAGACACACCGTTTCTAGCCCCGGGCCCGGTGCAGCAGCTCAGACAGGCTCATGGACCCCGTAAGGCCTCTCCGAATCCGCATACAAGGCGCGCGAGAGATTCCATTATTGCCTGTGGTGCAACAGCGATCTTCATCTGACGCCGGTTTGCCCACTGAAGGGCAAGGGTTGACAGGGAAACAGAGCACCGCCGAGAGTGATGCGATGACACTCTCGACGCCTTCGGAACTGGTTTCTTCGCGAGTGACCAGCCTTCATTCCGAGACGCACGCGAAAGTCGACAGTCCTCCGCTTCTATTTTCTTTTGAGGACTATGCTGCCCGACTCGTTCCAACGCTGGGTACTCAAGCTCAAGGACAAGGAGTGTGTGCGGTTTCTTCTCCGTCCGGCAACAGCGACATATCGTCTTCAAGTGGTTTGTCACGGGATTCGGCGCGCGAGTTCAAGATAGAGGTTTTGGACCCGCTCACATCTGAGCACTTTGCATGGCTTCCTCTCCCGACCACAGGTTGTTTGCAGGGACCGCAATGCGCAGCACTTAGCGCTCATCTCCACACTTACCTTTCCTTCTATGCACCACCAACTTCGCCGACGGATGACGAAGTCGCGGTGGGGGACATCCTAGCGTACGTTACCAAGGTGGCCCGCGAGTTTCGCACGCAGCGGTACGATAACAACAATGCACCGCTCATGTATATCCGCATCCAGGTTGGGCAAGCGTCCTGCAGCGCTTTGCTGGATAGCGGCGCGACTCGCAACTTCATGAGCCAGTCTTTTATGCAAAGAGCTGGCCTTGACGCACACGTTCGGAGAAAGGCAAACCCGACGGCGATCAAGTTGGCGGATGGAAAGACGCAGCAACTACTCGACCGTTACATCGAGGCCGTACCGGTCTACTTCACACCTCATGCATRCGAACCGGTGACATTCGATATTCTCGACACGGACTTCGACATCATTCTGGGAATGCCTTGGCTTGCAAGTGCGGATCACACGGTCAACTTCCATCGGCGGACTCTTAGCGTTCGCGACGCCTTTGGCGCGGAAGTGGCGTGTACGATTCCTCTACCGCACTCTTCGATCCGGTGCCAAGTGGTGACGGCCAAATCATCCCGGGTGACTTGTGCTTACGAGCAGCCCGAGGAGATCGGCATATGTTTCCTACGGACCGTCGCGGTAGTCGACTCTTCACCCACGGACTTGTCTTCGGCCCCCCGTGTGGTACGGTTGCTGGACGAGTTCGCCGACATCTTCGAGTCACCTACCGGTATGGTGCCGGGTCGGCCGATCTCTCACGAGATCATTCTTGAGGTCGGTGCCGTGCCGCCGGAAGGTTGCATCTATCGGATGAGCGAGGAGGAGCTTGAGGTACTCCGCGCACAACTCGATGATTTGTTGGCCAAGGGCTGGATCCACCCGAGTAGCTCCCCATATGGAGCACCAGTTCTCTTCGTCAGGAAGAAGAACAAGGATCCACGATTGTGTATCGACTACCGCAAGCTCAACACGCAAACCGTCAAGAATGCGGGGCCTCTTCCTCGCATCGACGATCTTCTCGAGCGGCTGGGCGGTGCGAAGTATTTTTCCAAGTTGGATTTGAAATCAGGATATCATCAAATCTCGATTCAGCCGAATGATCGCTATAAAACCGCATTCAAGACGCGGTACGGGCATTTTGAGTGGGTGGTTATGCCTTTTGGCCTCACCAACGCCCCGGCGACATTCCAAGCGGTGATGACCAATGAGTTTCGTGCAATGTTGGACCGGTTCGTGCTGGTCTACTTAGACGATATTCTCGTCTACAGCCGGACATTGGAGGATCATCTTGGACATCTTCAACGAGTGTTGGAGACGCTCTGCCGTGCCAAGTACAAGGAAAACCGTGACAAGTGCGAATTTGTCCGGCAAGAGCTGGAATACTTGGGCCATTTTGTCACACCGGAGGGCATCAGTCCGCTATCGGACAAGATTCAGGCCGTCCAAGAGTGGCCAGAGCCTCAGAACGTCACGGATGCCCTCTCGTTCCTCGGTCTTACCGGCTACTATCAGCGCTTCATCAAAGGCTACTCCAAGATCGCGGCCCACTTGAACAAGCTTCAGTGCGAGGATCGCCCGTTTGACTTTGGAGAGGCGGCGCGGGGATCATTCCTCGCTCTCAAAGCCGCGCTATTGTCTACGGAGGTCTTGCGGATATACGACCCACTCGCGCCTACACGTGTCACTACGGATGCGTCAGGCTATCGCATTGGTGCAGTCCTCGAGCAACATGATGGTGTGGACTGGCACCCGGTCGAGTACTTCAGCAAGAAAGTGCCACTCGTGCAATCCATTGACGATGCACGCAAAAAGGAGCTCCTCGCCTTCGTCCACGCGCTCAAGCGGTGGCGGCACTTCCTCCTTGGTCGAAGCCAATTTCGCTGGGTAACGGACAACAATCCGTTCGTCTTCTACAAGACCCAAGACACCGTCAATAGCATCATCGCTCGATGGATGGCTTTCAYCGACCAGTTCGACTTCTTTCCCGATCACATTCCCGGGAAGTCGAACCGTTTTGCGGATGCTCTTTCACGGCGTCCGGATCACTGTACCGCGGTCTACTCGACTTTCGAGATTGACGATGACCTGCGGAACAGCTTCATCCGCGGTTACCAAGCCAACCCCGAGTTTCGCGACAAGTACGCGAATTAGGCGGATCCAGGAGGGGTACTTGCTTGTCCACACGCGGGGGAAGGACCTTCTTTGCGTATCAAGTGATCCTCACTTGCGTACACGGCTTCTTGGCGAGTTCCACGACGCTCCCGCCACCGGACATTTTGGAGTCAATCGCACGATTGGCCGACTTCGCCAGCGATTTTGGTGGCCCGGCCTTCTCGGCAACGTCACGCGCTATTGCGAGTCATGCGAGGTTTGCCGACGCTGCAAATCCTGCAACCATCGTCCGTACGGTGAGCTACGACCATTGCCAGTCCCGCTGAGGTGAAGGGAAGCGATTGCCATGGACATCACCGGCCCGTTCCACAAGCACAAGACCGGAGTGGATGGGATTCTCACGATGGTCGACCGACTCACCAAGTTCGCCATGTTTTTGCCTTGTCGCTATCATGCCAAGGCACCGGAGTTGGCCGAGGTTCTGTACGCCGGTTGGATTCGCACCAAGGGTTACCCC